AGCCGCTGGAACGGCAGCTTGCGGATCAGCAGCTCGGTGGACTTCTGGTAGCGCCGGATCTCGCGCAGCGCCACGGTGCCCGGCCGGTAGCGGTGCGGCTTCTTCACGCCGCCCGTGGCCGGCGCGCTCTTGCGGGCCGCCTTGGTGGCCAGCTGCTTACGGGGCGCCTTGCCGCCGGTGGACTTGCGAGCCGTCTGCTTGGTGCGAGCCATCTGGAAACACTGGGCACGTACTAGACGTCTGTGATCGCGAGGGAGGCAAAGTTGCCCTTAAATATAGTTAGACGCACTCTGATTGGGTTGCTAATATTTCAAATGTCCCGCGCGATAAAACTATTGGCTGACGTCTTACCCTGTCAGGTTGATGCATCACTAGAGAACCCGATTGGATGAACAACCCCAAAGTCCACTTTTTTTTTTTTGGCTACTGGAAATGGAAAGGATTAATTTCGATGGGGGCTCAAGTAGTGTGCATGGGAAGCTATTCCAGGATCAAGATAAACATAGCTTCTGATTCAATGTGATCTGATTCTTGACAAAGTCATGATTACTAATTGGGGGTGTGTCTGCACCAAATTGGAATGTTTCCGGTGTACTGGGTCACTTTCCTTGAAAGAAATCAAGTCCATTGGACTAACACTTTCAGCCCTTGTCTTGTTTAACTACTTTCCCCTTTCTTAAAAAAAAAAAAAAAAAAGGCAAAATTACATACACAGTACTTAAGTATTTGCGTATTTACATATACTGGATAAATGTACGTGTACGTTACGTGTACGTGTAAGTGATTTTCACTGTAGCTCAGAAAGACTAATCCGGGACTGTTTTTCCTTTTGGCTCGACGAAAATTACATCGCTTTTAGTGAGGGGATATTGACATACCTGCCTAAGGCTCTTTCATTAGTCTCAATTTGTATTAACTGCACGTACTAGTGGTACGTCTTACTGCTATTTAAACTGAGTAGTGATAACAGCTTTTCTTGTGAAAGTGTGGATGGCTCTGAAAAGAGCCTTTGGTAGAGAAAATGTTCAGCCGTTGACTTTACTTGCCCTTGGCCTTGTGGTGGCTCTCGGTCTTCTTGGGCAGCAGCACGGCCTGGATGTTGGGCAG